CGCTGAGGCTGCTGGCGCTCCGTGGGGGCGTTATGGCTCTGCCACCGCAGAACTGGGTGCTGCGGGCGTCGCTGGCCTCGTCGCGTTGTGCCGGGCCTGGAGAAGGCTCCGGCCTGGGTCCGGACTGTGTCTGACGCGGTTTGCTGTCAGATGCGAAAAGATATAGTTTGCTGCGGCTTCGTTTTTAAGCCTTGCCAGTGAAGCTTGTGTCGGTTATAAAACACGTAGATGCCAAAGCTTTAAGCGGGTTCTTAGGGCAGCATAGCATCATGCAGGCAGGGCCAGGATCTTGAGCAGTGTCAAGTTAGTTCGGATGAATCTTCATTGCAAATCCCGTTCCTACTGTTACGTGTTTTGTTTTTTTCGAATACGGCTGTGTTAGCTGCCATTGCTGAGGCGATGCTCTAATGTTATTGATGCAGAATCAGCTGCTGATGCACATCTGGTGCAGCACTGCAGCACAGCTGGTGCTGTGATGTGTGAACTTCCATGTGGACGTCGAAGCCCTTAAACTAGTACTGTTTGTGTTTTTGACTCGTTTAGGTGTAAAAAATGGTTCAGCGCCTGACGTACCGCCGTAGGCTGTCCTACAACACAGCTTCCAACAAGACCAGACTGTAAGTAGGGCAGTTTCTAAGAAAACTGATATTTTTAAAAAGATGACCTTTCGGTTTGGATTGTTACATGAACTTAGTGTTTTCCTGCTGTGCTTAGGTCCCGAACACCTGGGAACAGGATTGTTTACCTTTACACCAAGAAGGTGGGGAAGGCACCCAAGTCAGCATGTGGTATATGCCCAGGGAGACTGCGTGGGGTAAGTATGAACCTGACTGGCCTGAGGGTGTTTCTCTACAGCAGTGTTTCCTCAGTACAAAGAGCTTTTCCAAATAATGTGATGCGCTTGTTTATTGATGTTTATTGTTATTGTTGGAGCAACTTTGGTCTTCAAAATATTCTTACTTGAATGTGGTAAAGTTTAACGGGTAAAATAAGCTTTGAAAGCTCAAACAGTACGTGCTTTTTTAATGCCTGAGGTTCATATTGTTGTTGTAGATGAAGCCTCTTGTTTTGTAAGATGATGTAACTGAAACTTTATGAGCTAGGTGAGTCTGTAGCTGATTTAAAAGAACTCTTAAGGTGGACCTGTTAAGACTTGCTGAAAAAAAAAAGGATGAGCCAAGAGTTTTAGAAAACAAGGGATGAACGTTTTTAACATGGTATTTTTTTTCAAAATGTTTTCTTGATGTAACACTATTGCTTTTACCTGTTCTGGGAAAGCTTGAGCAATGTCAGTCATGAGCAGTTCCTACCCTTGGGAAAACAGTGGGTTTTATGAAGAGTTTTTTAAGGAATCTGTTGGTGAGCCCGTGTGGTAGAGTGAAAAGATCAATTTAGGGATGCTGAAGGTGGCACATAGAATGAGCTGTGACTTCAGTCACTTTTTTCCCATCTTGAATAGTCAATTTCAGGTGTTGCTATGAAAGTGATTCTGTTTTTACATGGCTGTTACCCACAGTTACTGTGTTATGATACAGGTGTTGTTTTTGCTGCCTGTAGGTTCGTGCTGTGCGCCCTAAGGTTCTCATGAGGCTGTCAAAGACGAAGAAACATGTCAGCAGAGCCTACGGGGGCTCCATGTGTGCAAAGTGTGTCCGTGACAGGTGAGCTTGCAGACAGCTAACTGTGCTTGGGGCCACTTCGTACGAGGCTTTTGTATCTCTCTGGGTTTTCATAACATGGACCAAAACTTTGAAAGCTCTTGTCTGACACTGGTGCAGTGAAATGGAGAGGGTGAGCACAGGGCGCAGGAGCAGCGATATCTGCAATTCTATCCCTTGGATTTGAGCTAGTTACTGCATGTGGAGCTCCTTTGCAGAGACCTCCCATTCTTTGTGGTTTGTTACTGCACTGTTGGTTTGGTGTTGAACAGTTGGTTATGCTGGATTTTTATCTTTTGTATTGAGCCCCCTTAGTAAAGATTTTTCTCTTCTCATCCTATTTTTCCATCTTACATAAAGTTACTAGTATAAGTTTAGTTCAATTTTTGGCTTCTTTGTGGTGGCTTGGGATTCTGTTTGGTAGCATGTTAAGCATCTTTATATATTTAAACTTTAAGATGGTGTTTGCTGGGCCTCATGGAATTCAGTTTTATTGTGTAACAGCTGTACATCCTATAGAGTCTAATGCTATTTTTTTTCAAGTGTAATGCCAGCAATTTTAAATTTTTTTTTTTTGCTTGTGTTAAATCTAAGTGAAATTGCATTAGGCACCTCTGAAGATGAGTTGGTACAGCTGCAGAGCCATAGCATAACTTTTCTGTGTTGAAGGACAATTTTTTTCTGAGTGTTTTCCCAAACACTTTATGAGCTTGATAGGTAGTTTTCAGTGCATGAGTATGTCCTGCTCTTACTCTGCCTAAACCAAAAAACACAGTCACCTTCTTCCCCATAATGAGCAGATTTTCTCCTGCACCTGCTTAGGCATCTTTGGTGGTTTTGTGTACTGCAAAAGTAGCCATATGTATCCACTGCTTATGAGAGGCATTTTAATGTTTAAAGGTTGAAGAGTGTGTATGGTATGTTTGTGCTTTTAACTCAAAACCATCAAACAGGCTGTTGATATGTGAGTGTTATTGCATAGACCTGTCCATCTGCATGCTGGCCCTACGTGTTGTCCAGAATTGTTCATATTTGGACATGACTCGACCTGGTAGGCTTTTCTCTGTTGATGTGCAAAGGAGCTTTAATCCTCACAGGGGAACTGTTCTTGTTTTGATAACTGGATGCATGTAAAGTTTCCTGTAGTTCTGAGGAAGAGAGCTGACCATGACTGGCCACACTAATTCTGACTTTCAAAGCAGCTAAAGTAATTTGCCAGTTAGTAGTTCTGCATTTTTCCTTTGAAGTTAGTGAAGGTTGTAACTTTTCTAGTGTTCAGCCATCAGGTATTACCTTGCCTATGAGCCACTCACCCTAAATTGGCAGACACACTAGGCCTTCTGCCCCAAACCTCTGCATTCCTACAGTGCTGCTGTCCCTGTCTTTTGCTGCTGGCAAGAACATTGATGGTTTCCCTTTTTACGTAATTGTGGAACTAGCACTACATGTGCAATGAATGTTGGAGACAGCAAGTTTATTGTAACTTGTCTTATTTTTGTGTCTTTACTTAAGTAGATAGTTCCATGTCCTAAAGTTGTTCTTCTTTTCCAGGATCAAACGAGCTTTTCTTATTGAGGAGCAGAAGATTGTTGTGAAAGTTTTGAAGGCACAAGCACAGAGCCAGAAGTCAAAGTGAACCTACTTGTAGTTTCAGCCCAATAAATGAAAGTTCTACTTCTCTTGTGTCCTGTTATTCCATGTGCTAGTTAAAGGTGGAAGGAGCTGCCTCTCACAGCTTACAGAATGCAGAACCAGGTTTTGGTGCAGCAAAACCTGTAAATCAGGATCCTTTGTGCTGCCTGCTGACGGGACATCAAGCAGGTGGAAGGTCTGGTGAAACAGGACTCCCAGCTCTGCCTCACAGACCCGTAGAGGGATTGGAGTAACTTTGAGCAGTGCAGGTTTTATTTTTTTATGGCAACAGCTGTATGCAAATTCATCAGAGAACTTGGCTCAGAAGAAAGTTTGGACTCTGAAAAAGAAAACCAAACAAGAATGACTGAAGACTGGAAGAGAGATTGTCAGATGAAGAGGAGAGCTAGTATATATTTTTCTTATTTGTATGTGCTATATTTACCATTACTTGAGTCTGAGGGTGGGGGAATAGTCTGACTTCTCAAAGCCAGTGCTGTATCCACCAGACAGCTGCATACTGCGACATCTGAATTGCCTGGAAGAAAGCTATGGCTGCTGTACCCTGTTTGTTAGGTGCTTCCTGCGTCAATAGTTACAGGTATGACACCAGCAGAACTCCAAGGCACAGCTAGGACACACCTGCAATGGCTTCCAGATGAGGTTTTAGACTAGTAATTTAGGCCTCTGGTACTGAAACTTGAACCAAGGTTCTGTTGGTTTATCACTGAGAATGGAATGGTAATGTAAAAAGTGCAAATGGCTTTGCTGCTTTGCTTCATTCTGTTTTGCAGAGAACTCTAAATGTGCCTCTTAACACTATCCATGAGTGCTTTGACACACGCAGGATAATTCCTGGATTACCTATGAATGCAGTGATATTCCTTACCCCCAGCTCTGAATTTTGAACTTTTAGTATCTGATGAGAATCTATTTTTATGTTTTTACCAATAACTGTTTTTCAAAAAGCAGTGAGCTCCACCATGAGAATAAGGAGAAATAATTACTGAGTGCAGATGTACTGGGAGCAGTGAGGGTGCCATTCAGAGAGGTTTCTAAGGTCCCTTGTGGGGTCTGCTCAGGTTGTGGCTCTGAGAGATGTGTGCAGGTCCCTCCTGACTGTGTGCTGTTTCTTCACACTGCCTAGCTCTGCAGCTTGTCAGGCTGTACAGTCAGCCAAGAAACAGGACACAAGACTGAGTTGATGAAGAGCCCTGCCCTTTAGGTGGCAGCCAGCTGGTGCTTTGGGTGAGGTGCCTGCTACCTCACAGCTGCCTCCTGGGTGTGACAACAGGAGGTGGCTGTGGTCCAGGGTAATTGACTTAACACCGTGTGTGGTGAAAGGAGCTGTACCTCCTCAAGTATTTCTTCAGTTCCCAAGTACATAAAATAATTCTATCAATATTCTCAAAATAGGTAAATGTAACTTTAAACATGAAGTGCTTCTCATCAGCTCTGGGTTTTGCTAAAACTTGTTGCAAAGGCTGTAGCTAATCAAAGGAGGTTTTAAGACTAACATTAGTACCCTGACGTTTTTAGGTGCTGTTACTATAGTTAGTTTAAAGGTTAAAATTTTATTAGTTGTCTTACTGTCCTAGTACAAGCTTCAATACTTTGGCATGCTGGAAAATTGGTTTTAAAGCAGGAGCAGCAAGTAGGGCAGGCGTGTCTAACCTGCCCCAAAAGTTTTGCATTAAAAGCTGTGAGGTGAGAGTTTTCCTTTGGGTTTTTAGAAACGAGGCAAGACAGAGGGAGAATGCTTTTGGAATAATGAGGATAAATGTCATAAACATCTGTTGACAGGCACTGAGAGGGAGATTTTTTTTCCAAACAGGAAGGCCAAGACTGAAAACAGCTAATTATAGATTAGGTGTTTGCACTGAAAGGCAACAGTTACGAGTGAGAAGTGGTGTTGCTGCTGCAGGCAAAAGTAAAAGCAGTTGTTAGGCAAAATGTATGTGAAACGGTAATAAGGCCCTTAATTTTGTTTAACCAGTTTGAGCAGACGGCTGCAGTGCAGGGATGGGGCATCACCTAGGGCACAGCTGTGCAGTGGGCAGTAGGCTGGACAGCTGGGTGACATGGGGCAACTTCAGCTAGAGCATGTGCTCCTGTAGCCTGGAGTGCAGGGCTCTCTGCCCCTTTCATGGAGCCAGCAGAACTAGACAAGCTTCTACTCAAGATGGGGGATTTTTCTCCCTTATGTGCTGCCTGGGTGCTTCTCTCCAAGCTGAGCTGAGGGCAGTCAGCCCTGCAGATGGCCTGGGCCAGTGAGGTGTTGGCACACTTAGAGGAGTTCCTGAGATGGTCTGTAACACACAGGTACCTCTTAGCAGCTACTGGTGAGATGAGCCTTTTCTGCTCTGGCTCGGGGTGCAGCTGCCAAGGTCTCCTCTGGCCGCAGGTCAGGATGACACCACATCGCAGGCTGCAGGCAAGGGCCATCCCAGCCCTGTTCCCCTCCAAACACCAGAACCGGGGTGAGGCCTACTGCGGAACTTTTTCCGTTCTTGGGCCTGTTATCTTTCCCAGCTTGGCTATACAGACTCACACGCGGGACGTGGATTTTCCTTCCCTCTGCCAAGAAACTGCAGCGGTCG